AAACACATTTCATTACACCAAATACACAAAATAATGTTATTTTTAGCAGCATCATATGACCCCTTTAAAGGTTGTAGCAGATTCAAATGTTCTGTAACAGCAGCTTGAAAAACATTTACTGTGTCATTCTTCGTGTGTAGTAAATTACAGATTAATCAATAAAACAAAATAAATTCTGGTAACACTTTATTATAACTTTAATTTATAAACCATTAACAAACATTATATTATGCTTAACAGATCATTAGTTAATATATATTCACTTAGCTAGAAATATGAGATAATGTTCTTGTTAATGTTTACTAATGTACTTTTTAAACATTACCTAATGATTAACTTATGATTGTTTAATGTAAATTGAAATGCTTACCAATGTCAGTAAACTTTCAGTTCATATGATCATATCATTTTGTAGTTGTTTATCGACCCCCAGGCCTTACTAATGAACTTACTAAACATTACCTAATGATTAACATATGATTAATGTAAACTGAAATGCTTACAAATGTTGTTTGTTGTGTAGACCTCTATTTACACATCTTAACAAATAATCTATTAATTACTTGTTCATGTTTTTGCAGTACCCAATCTAAAGTGGAAACTATTCATCATTTGCAAATGTTTATAAATGTTTACTAATCATTAGTACCTTTATGAACAGTCATCTCAATGGCAAAAAGTGTCCCGAAAGACCTGAATTTACCCTATTGACCTATCTTTACTAATCATTTATTAATAATTTGTTCATGTTTTTTGGCAGTAGCCAATCTAAAGTTGAAACTATTCTCGTTTGTGAATAGTTATAAACGATTACTAAATCATTTAGTATCTTTATGGGCATTGGAATTTTAGCTAATGTAACAAGGTTTGTGTAAAGGGTGGCTGGTTAAGTTCAGCTAAATGCTTGCTAAAGACATAACAGATTGTAATTTTGGTGCAAAAGTTTTTTTTATTGAGTGTTATAATCCATTAGCACTCACATTAGTATACTACTCTTCAGTACATCATTAAACAGGATATTCCTTGAATCATAAATAAAAAAATTACAATTTTTTAAAGAAAATACTTGTTCATTTATAAAAGCAATATAATATAAACATATTGACCTGTGTTCCCTTATACACTGTTGACCCTTTGACCAACCCTTAAACCTACCCATACCACCAAACCTGTCCTTAACCTTACCTGTATCACACCTCAATAGCAGCAAAAGTGTTGTGCATTAGCACATCATTTTATAACATCTGTTAAAATCATTTGTAGATTTTCAATAAACGCTTGATCATATGAATTGAAAGTTTAATAACATTTGTAAGCATTTTAACTTACATGAAATGATGATTTGTTAAACATTATGTAATGTTTATTACATTTATTAGAAAACATTAACAAGCACATTATCTCACGTTTCTAACTCTTTGAATATACAGTATATTAACTAATGATCCATTATATAATGTTTGTTAATGATTTATTAATGAAAGTTATTAGTGTTTCCTATTAAAGTGTTGCCTAAATTCTCACTGTGATTCTCTTCTCAGATGAATGATGGACAAATGGCTTATGATGACTATGAGAATGATGATTCTAGAACATTCTCAAATACATGAAAGTTGATTGAGGGATGAGAACAGATGTGATGTAAATCAAAAAAGAAAAAAAAAACATTGTAAATAAATAAATAAGTTTGACATTTGACAGACCAAATGTGACATTTGACAGACAGTTTCTAATGCTGGTCAAAGTTTAATTAATTATTATTATTTATTTTTTATTCTGTTGGCAGCCAATGTTTTATGGATTACAAATCTGACAATACTTTTAATAATAGGTAGAAAAAAAGTAAGTATTTGCGCACAGTTTTGAATTTTTCACTGAATAAATTAGACATTATACATTAAATCAGGGATGGGCAACTTTGACAGTGATGAGGGCCAGCACTTTTTCTCCTTTATACCAAGGGGCCAGATTACTAATCCACATCTAAATACCTTTTACTTTTACAGAGTCCACTAGTTTGTTACTTTAACTGAGTAGCAGTACAACCAAAACACACCAGCTGTGAGAATGTATTTAGGAATATTTTGTGACAATCTGCGCTGCAGCTAAATTGTTGCATAATTTTATTTGCTCTCATTTAATGCAAGCCTTACGCTTTGTAATTTGGTGGAGTAACTGTACTGACGGTACGATGGAGAACTTGAACTGGACTTTAGAGAT